CTCGAGTCGGCAGGCCTGCGAGTGACGTCACCACTATCAACAGCTCAAGTATAGTGGTGACGTCACCCGCAGGCCTCGATGGGATGCTGCGGCTGAAATGGCAGACCCTTTCAGCTCAATAAAACTGTGTCAATAAGCAGTCCTACAAGGTTAAGTGTTCTTGGGATTCCCCCAAACATATTAGTGTCGGCTTCCCATTTTTTATTCCAAAGAAGAAAAGCAATAAAGTGAAAACAAGTTCCCCTAAATTTTTCTGGCCCAGTCTGGCATCCCCTAATATAACACCCTAGCGTTACCACTGCTTTAGCTGCAGATGTTATGGACCACTTAGCCAAGAAGACTGGAAATTATTCTTTCACTAGGTACATTAAATTGTGATTAATCAAAATAAAAATTTTAATTTTATATATTTTTTTGACTCTTACGGTTTCGAAATAACGGATATGCACTTAATTTAAATTTAAAAGTTCGGGAAAAATGGGAATTTTGAAAAAGATAATGTATCTTTGGTTGGTTAAATTGTCGCCTTTTTGTTTACCTGACCTATCACAAATGTCTTTGGCCTTTGGTCACAAATGTCTTTGGCCTTTGGTCACAAATGCCTTTGGCCTTTGGCGAATTTACCTGCACCGCTGGACCTGGACCCCCCCCCCACCCCCCAGGGTGAAAAGCTATCTACGCTACTGAAATAGGATTTTCTCTTGAATTAACCGTTCAGGTTTTACAGCCTGTGAAAGTTGCAGAAAGTCAATATTTCCAAAACAGTTGAACTTCGGTATAGGATACATCACATAAAAACTGCTCAGAATTTTACGTAGAATCCAAATATGTAATCACATACAGGGTGTTCCTTTTAAAATAGCGATGTTGCCACTAGTTTAGAGTAGACCGGCAACACCGCATAAACAAAAATATTTTAGAAGTGTAGATTATGGTCGTTTATCTCGGTTGCCAAATTTTCAAAATGATCCGCTTTTTAGTTTTCCATTAACGTCTAATATGCCATCCACCGTAGGACACCCTGTATGTAGGGCTGCAGGTGCGTGCATGCCATTTTGTTTCTGCACTTAAAATATCTTTTTTTAATGAATTGCAAAATGGCAAGCAAGAAACAATCATTATTTTCTGTTTATATTTTTTTTGCAACTTTTTCCATGCATGCCTATTCAATGTTACGCCCTGAGATGCATGCCAATTTTTTTTTCAATAATCATTATATTAATGAAAATTTTAACAAATGGCATGCAATTTGAAATCACCAAAAGTATACTAAAATTTTCACAAGATTTTCCACTAATTTTCCAGGTTTCCCCCACCGAGCGGCGCATGCCATTTATTTTTTAGGCTGTTATTTCGATAAAAATTAAATATTTCCATTGGCATGCAATTTCAAAACATTAAAAATCAGCATTATTTTTTTCATCTTCAGGTGTCCCTTTGAAGCATTTGCGCTACTGCGGGGCGCATGCCTTTCATTACAAGACTGTCAATACGTTAGTTTTACTTTATGTTTAAATGGCATGCAGTATGCAGTTACAGATCACCAAAAACCACAAAAGTTTTTCACAAATGAAAATTCGATTTTTCCTATATAGCGGCTTTGAGCGGCGGTGAAAATCATATTTTTTCTTACTGTTCCTGAGTTAATTATCAACCATTAAAAAGGCATGCGGGATAAAATCAGTAGATAAAACCTGTCACGCCCTCCCAATCTATAAAGGACTGGTTTTCTGCTAATAAACTGGCATAAAACGACAGCAAAACTGAGCGCATTCTTTTTGGACTGAGAGAGATTGAGGAGAACGTGGAGGAAGTAAAGTTTCTTGGAGTGTACCTTGATCCAACTTTGAGGTTTGAACGACATGTGGATCAGATCACCATCCGCTTGTCCAGAAACATGTTTTTGCTCAGAAACCTCAAACAAGTGCTGCCCAGGAATTCCCTTCTTCAGACATTTCAGGGTGTTTTTGAGTTAGTGGCTTTTTAGGTTATCTTGATGTGGCGACACGCACCAATTTGACCAAACTCATTACGTATTTTTGGCTTACAGAGAAGAGCAGTCAGAGTGATAACCCATGGTGATCACAGGCCTGGGCTACAGGGACGATGTAAGGGGTTCATTTCAGCAAATGGATGTGATGACTGTTCCTGGTCAATACATCTATGAGTGCCTTTGGTACGGTCACAAGAATCTGGTACGAGAGATGCCTCTAAATTTGATAAAAAATAAAATAAAAGAACTATGGTGTATTTTTTCCCAAGATGGATTTTGACATTGAAAACTTTGAAACATAAACAATACCGCTTGGCCTTGATTGGTCACAAAATGAGGTCCCTGCAGGTTGGAACTACTGTTTCAAACTTGCCAACATCAAAATCTATCTTGGGAAAAAATACAGTTTAGTTATTGAGAATGCTTTTTATAATTTACAAGAGTTCCTCAATGGTGATTATAATTTTTGAAATTTATATTATAGTATTGTTCCTCTAAAACTGTTTGTGTATGTAAGTACCTGATCATTTTAAAATGTAGTATTGTCTAACAATGATTATTAATTTTGTGATTTTAAACTATAATAGTTTACTGTTTTTATATATTTTTTTATAACCTGATTATTTTAGTGTGTAATGTCTCGTTAATTTTATCATTATAATAGTGTACCTACTGTATTTTTTGAAAGTAGATAATTGATTTATTGTTTTTGAGAGCTAGACAGCTATTTCTGAGTTCTGGTTCTGATGAGCTGGTATCCTATAAAAACAGGGTGGAAAAATAGTTTGGATGTTTGAATTAAATAGGAAAGTTTACATTAAGTTCTACCATTGGTTCTACTAGTTCCATATTGACAAAGATGTCAATGACGTCTTGGGTAATTCAACTTAGGTCAGTAGAATTCTCTCAACTGACAGGACTCTGGACTCGTTCTGGAGGGGATTCGTAACCTCTTTCTTTTAGAAGAAGATTCCTGACCAGGTGGTTGATTTTTCTTCTTGGCTCTGCCGATTTAATAAGTAGCCTACTTTCACTTTAATTTTGAAATTAGGTTTCTTTACGCAGCGCAGTTTTTACACCTCTCTAATTTGTATTCTATCGCTAGGAACAAGTAGTTTAATTTTCTTGATGTATGTAAACATTTATATTTGTACTGGCATGATGAATAAACTTTGAACTTTGGGAAAAATAACCCAGAAAATGAATATGTACACCATCAATGGGTGAGTACGGGTCAGTGTTCAGCAACACAATGACCTTGGAGTTCTTATTACTAAAAACTTCACCTGGTCAACAGAATTAACAACAATATGCAAAAAAGCCAACAGCAAGTTATTCCTCCTGAAGAAGGTCTTCCTAAACACCCCCAAGAGGCGTTTAGAAAAATGTACAACATATACTGCTGGCCATTGCTAGAATAGAATATGCAGGTCAGGCTTGACACCCAGACCTCACTAGAGAGTTAGAGGCCGCAATAGCCTCAAAACTGTACAGAGCAAAACGATTGCAACTTGGTAGAAGAAGAAACTGCTCAGCTTCCAAAAGAGAAGAGCAAGAGGAGATCTCATCTTCATCTACCAAACACTAAACACTCCACAACATCATTTAAACAGTTAGAGACCTCTATGCCTTGAACACAGACCAGAGACTCCGGAGTCACAGTCTGTTATGTTTTCAATAAATACTTCCTCGACTACTTCTATCTTCAAATGATGAATTATATCTGTGATAATGACAATGATTATTACAACAACTGGTTATCCAGTTATATACAAAATATATAACAGATTCTTCGCCACATAATATCAGGGCCGCCTAGACTGTGACGTCACACCGGCTTTGGAGGCAATGTTAAAATACTTGTAAAATTTTCCAAAACAAAAGTCAACGATCTCACTTGGAGTGAATTGCATCGCACCACACACAAGTATAGGGTACGGTTCACTTCACTGATGACTGAACAAATAGAAGGCTGCGATTTCGGCGGTTTGCTGGTGTGACGTCACAAGTTTCCGCATATTATCTTCGTGAGTGATTATTTCGGAAACTATTTTGAATATAGGACTGCAGTTCTCACAAGAGATCTTAGATTTTTTTCTTGATTTAAGTAGCTTAAGCTGGTTCTTTCTTTGGGTCACACCCCCTTTAATATGGTTGGCATGTGTAATGAGATGCTGTCAAATAATGTGTGGACTGATATGTTCAATATTAGCCTTAATAAATTAAAATGCTTGCTCAGGCTGTATCGGTGCTCAAATATGCTTAGAAAATTGTTGTTTGTTATTGTATAGGTATTATTTCTTGTTTTATATACTTAAATCTTTTTCACTCGCTTTTATACTACTGCTGTTTATGTAACTCGCCTTTACCTGTAATTAAAGTCCAACAAATACCATTTTAAAGTCACGTGATACTGGTAGCAAAAAACGTATGTCCATTGATTATGTCGTTGATATCACCTACAAAAAGCTATTGGTGGTTAATTACTATTGAATTTTAATATATGTTCCCACTAGCATTTTACAAACGCGTTTCTGAAGTAGTATTGACCAATCAGAAGGCAATTTTAATACTTGCAATTGTTGCGAGACTCACTTTTGTGGCATCTGCTGTCTGTTGTAATACATTCTGAACTTAAACTGGGTACCCGTTTTCTATATGCTTCTTTTCGAGTTGGAAAAAGGTTAATATAGTCAAAATTTTTAGCTGTGTTTGTTCGTTGTATTATTTTCGAAAATAACTTTGACAAACTAATTCATGACAGTGACGGATTCTATTTCAGGTAAGAATATTATGAACAATAATTAGACACCAATTTTTTTTGTCAATTTTACTATCACCGCTTTTGAGATGTATTCAACAAGGATAGAGAAAAATCACGAGACTTTAAAATGGTATTTGTTGGACTATACCACTCTGGTGTTTGTAGAGTGGCAAAAAGCAATAATAAATAAAAATAAATAAATAAATTCCACCATGCAATTTTTGTCAAGTTGAAAATACGCACCTTTTTTTATGATTCCTTCGCAAATAGCTTTTGCCATATTGCCTCCTCCGATAAAGCCAATTTTTTCCTTTATTTTATTTAAATTATTTGGATGTTCCATTGCAAAAATTATTCACCAACTAAATAATTATTGTATAGTATAAAACGGTTGTGGTATAATGCTACAATGATGTATTGGATTGTGATTGTATTGCTGCCGCTGCCTGCTAGCCCACTGCCCGCTGCTGCTGCTCCTAGAAGAGAAAAATACGAAATTGAAATTGTTTTAAGGGGGTTATGTTTATCATCGATGAATGAATGAAATCGAGTATCGACTAACCTGCCTTACCTTGCGTTCGGTATTTTGCTCAAAGTGTAGAGCGAGCTGAGCGGAGCCGTAATCACGTGACCAGCGAGCGAACGGAGCAGTTGAACGCTGTATAAAAGTACCGGAAATTTTAATTAACGAACGCGAATGAGGCTGCACCGAGTACACGTTTTAAATAAACGAACGGTAAAGTCAAGCTCGGAGAACTCAGACCAAAATAACGAACGCACGGTTAGTTACCTTAGTAATGGGACTTGAACAATAGTTGTATTCCTTTCACACCTAGGAGGAGCTCCGGGGCTTCACGCACTTATTCCTTTCGAAAAGTGTTTGCTTCACCACGCATCTGTTCCCTGCAAATCGGGGGCGACTAAACACCGGAGCGAGTAGCTCAAGTGCTTGAAACTCTTGAAAGGAATACAGCTAATGTAGGGATGGCTGCCTAAAGGGCCCCATACACTACGATGAAACACGATAGTTTTCATGGCCACGATAAAACGCGTCGTTCCAAAACCGAAGTGTGTGGTAGAAAAAGAAAAACACGTCGGTTTTCTACCACACACTTCGGTTTTGGAACGACGTGTTTCATCGTGGCGATGAAAACTGTCGTGTTTCATCGTAGTGTATGGGGCCCTTAATACTAGAACTGATCCCGCGGAACTGATCTTCACAGTGGGAACTGTACCAAACTGATCCACTGCAAAATAAACAAGTTCGAGTACGAGTCTGAACCACTTTTGCGTTGTCTACGTTGTACGGACTCGGACTAATCGGATTACGCCGCGCCGGCCGGCGAAACAGGGAAAAGTGCGGATTACTGCGGACTCGGACGTACTCGGCTAGCCGGGCGGGAATGCTGTCAATCCGACTTTGGCAGTTCGACAGGGTGTTGATTTTCAGTCAAATTCACACTTTTCGAAATCGTCACCTTTCCGCCCTTGATACACAATGTACTATTTCTACATTTAAAATCGACGAAAAAATCAACCCACAACCTGAATCGCAAGCATTCTATTGAAGTCTGCGGGCGACGTCACCACTATTAGCTGCTGATAGTGGTGACGTCACTCGCAGACCTTGCCGACTCGAGAACTGGCGAACGTACGCCTTTATGAGGATTTGCATTGAGCAATCCTGATGTTAGTTTACGACTCTTGACTCTGGGTTATATCGCGAAAATAGCAGATGAAAGGCTTGAGTCATGGTTGAACCAGAGCATGATGAAAACGCTTATTGCTTGATTATCCCCCCACCCATTATTTCCTCTTAATGCCTCATTCTCACTTGCGCGAAATTCACTCTTTTCTGACATTGCTTCGAAAATTTGACGTTTGACACGCATTAAACGTCAAATTGTCAAAGCAATGTCAAAAAAAGAGCGAATTTCGCGTAAAGCCTAGTACTCATAACTGCGAAATTCGCATTTTTTTGACATTGCGTTGACAATTTGACGTTTTATGCGTGTATTGAACGTCAAATTGTCGAAGCAATGTCAAAAAAATGCGAATTTCGCAGTTATGAGTACTAGACTTAAGGCCGGATTTTCATGCATCCGTTTTCCGACGAAATATGTCCGAAAAATCTTCTATTTTGACATATTTTTATACGATTATGTCAGAATAGAATGTTTTTCGGACATCTTTCGTCGGAAAAACGGATGCATGAAAATTAAGCTTAAAAAGAGCGAATTTCGCGCAAGTGAAAATGAGGCATAATAATTTTTGGGTTAGTTTGGGTTACAAACAAACCACTTGCGCGAAATTCGCTCTTTTTAAGCTTAATTTTCATGCATCCGTTTTCCGACGAAATATGTCCGAAAAATCTTCTATTTTGACATATTTTTATACGATTATGTCAGAATAGAATGTTTTTCGGACATCTTTCGTCGGAAAAACGGATGCATGAAAATTAAGCTTAAAAAGAGCGAATTTCGCGCAAGTGAAAATGAGGCATAATAATTTTTCTCGCGAAATCGGCAATTTGAGGATAACCCGACAAAACCCAACCAGTGAAGTGCGTCTACACGTAGACTTTCAATGGGTGCATTCAGGTGGTGCCAGCGGCTTAGTTCAGCTACTCAGCAGGAACTTTATTCTCGAAACAGGGGAGCAGCGTTCTCATTGAACGAAGGTTCTGTCTTTGTCGTCCGGCATAACACTGACAATGACAGAGCAATCGTTCTTAATTCTTATGAGAACGTGGTTCCTTAGTTTCAAGAATAAAGTCCCTGCTGAGTGGCTGAGCTTAGCCGCTGGGACCGCCTGAACGTACCCATTGTCTACTTTACGTGTAGACAATCACGTAAAATAGTAAACAACGTAGACAATAGCCGCTTTCCAGCTGACGCTTTTGAGCACGCAATCGAGCTTTTGCGCGCGCAAATGCTTCAAGCGCGTGTTCGTGTTCCAGCCGTACTGCGCTTCGAGAGCCTGCTAACTTTTGCGTTTCAAACACAGAACACTGTGCTGCACCGTGCTTGAAGCACACAGCTGGAAAGCGGCTAATGTAGACAACGTGTCAACAATGTAAAATAATATAAATGACGTTTAGTTCTCACACAGTGTTGCCAAACCTTCGCACCTAAATTCTCCACCTTGACCAATGAAATTCTCCGCATTTCGCTGAAATTCTCCGCTTTTATAAGGTCTGTTCCAACAAGCCAATAACCGTCCCATGAACGGTTCTGAAACCACTCTGTATATGAATTTCGGATTCTACACATAAACTTTATGCTTTGCGCAGAATCGTATCGGTACAGTGTACGGTTTCCTGTGTTGGAAGTTGGAACAAAGCGATAATTTTCGTGTTTCCTGAGAAAAAGTCGAACCGTTTGATTGTCGATGATTTACTCGTTGGCTTTACTTTAGAACGTGCCCCATTAACCATTTATCTATTTTCAAGAAATTCATTAATTTTAAATTAAATGGATGGACGTTATGACTACAAGGTTTGTTCCAACCCGCCAAAAAAACGTCTTAAGAACAGTTTTCGCAACCACACTGTAAACGAATCTCGGATTCTACGCACAAATTTTATGTTTTACGCAGAATCCTGACAGTGAAATGTACGGTTTCTCTGTTTCCTGCTGTGTTGGAACCATTGAGGTTGGAACAAAGCTATGGTATGTCATGTCATTTATGTCCAATGGCAATAAGTCACCTGTTTGCTCCGAATCTCTGAATGACTCTGATTCCCAAGACCCAAATATCTTCTTAAATTTTTATTTTAGCTGAAATTTTGAATTCTCCGCAGACCCCAAAATTCTCCGAAAAACGAAGAATTCTCCGCCGATTGTTCTCACCTCACACTTTCTTTTTCTAAAATTATTTTTATTCTGTACATCACTGAACAGTCTGAACATAATCTTTGAGAAAGAAAGGAGGATAATCGAGCATAATTATGCTGGGTTATGTGATGTGTCATACTACTCAGTACTCATACTCCCCTAACTCCCTCACCATCAAATTCTGGACCTGCGAATGACGTCATTATCAGCAGCTCATAGTGATGACGTCACCCGCAGACCTCGATGGATTGCTTGCGATTTAGGCTGTGCTAGTGAGGTAATTTTTTCGTAGATTTTAAATGTAGAATAGGTGATTTTCGGTCTGTTCTCACAGAAGAAATTAAATGTTCTTGATCCTCGAGTATCCCAGAATTTGATGGTGGGGCAGTTAGTATGACACATCACATAATCCAAGAGGGGAGGGGGATTCTCATCCTCTAGTCGCAATCTATCGTCCCGACTCACCCGTAGAAAGGCAATGGGATAATCGGGGCGATAGGTTGCGACTAGAGGATGAGAATCCCCCACCAGCAAAAGTATATTGCCACTGTTGGCAGAAGCCCATGTGATCTTTGATTTGAAGTTTCAAAACTGATCACTTGGGCCTTTTTGCTCGCTGAGGATTAACCGAGCTCACATTTTTCGAGCTCACGGACCTGACCGAAATCCACTACACCTAGGAGGAGCTCCGGAACAGCTCCGGGGCGTTACGCGCTTATTCCTTTCGAAAAGTGTTTGTTGCACCTGGAGGTGCTCAAGCCCGAATCAAACCATTATAAATGCATGAAAGCCATTGCATCTGTTCCTTTCAAATCGGGATCGACTAGCAAGCAAGGAATACAATACAGCTTTGATAGCTAAGGCCATGGCAATAATCTGAAATTCCTAACCCTAACTTCACGTTTGTTTACACTTTTGAATTTTCATTTGATATTTGTTGTTAACTCTACTGTTGGATGTTGTAACTTGTAACCTCGCAAATGCTACAATTTTAATATTTTTGTAAATCCAACAGGAAGTTTATGAATTCTGCAACCATGCTATTCTCTGCCGAACTCACAGAAGTTAAAGTGGTGCATAATGTATTAAAATCTGTTGCCATGAAAGAGGTGGGTAGATAGCTTTTTAACATAAATTTTCTCACCCAGATTTTCATTTATTATCATATTATCATGATAAACCTGGTGCATTCTTTCTTCTCTCTTACTACCACTCGTTTTTGCAAATACAGTGTGTCCGAAATTCGAGTCTACATGGGGATTTCGCTTATTATGAGAGATACAGGGTGGCTCAAATTAGGAAAGTTTTAGGGAATTTATTGCTAATTTATATCCTGTTGTTAAATTTGCCTCAAAGTTTTCTGTTTCCTAGAAATACGAGAAAAACTGAAAATAGCCAATTTTGTTTTTTATCAATAATTCATAAACGGTTAACTTTAGACTTTTCTAACTTTAACATTATTAAGACACTTTTTTGAGACGGACATTTTCATGATTTGAAAACATTCCGATCGTCGTTTGTTTTCGAGTTATTAACCAAAATTTTCTTATTTCTTATGGCGGCCATCTTCGATTTCAACAAAATATTATTTTGCAAAAAAAATCCTTTAAAATGATTTATTACAAGCTATGAAAACGTTTTGCAAGTCCTTCAAAATTACAGTTGGAACCGATATATCGCTAAATTTGGCAACAATGCTCATAATTATAAGAATAAAAGCAAATAAGTAATAAGTAAAGTCTGTTTTTTTTTTCAAGATAATTCCCAAAGTCAAAAATTTTGTAACTATGTTGGAAACACAAGCCTTTTCTACATAAAATTTTTTTAAGCATTGACAATTTTACATTGTATTGCCAACATAATGTCATTTTGACTTTTATCTTAAAAAAAAAACAGACTACTTATTACTTATTAGCTTTTATCCTTATAATTATGAGCAATGTTGCCAAATTTAGCAAAAAATCAGTTCCAACTGTATTTTGAAGGACTTGCAAAGCTTTTTCATAGCTTGTAATACATCATTTTAAAGGATTTTTTTCGCAGAATATTTTTTTGTTGAAATCTAAGATGGCCATTATGAGAAATAAGAAAATTTTGATTTATAACTCGAAAACAAACGACGATCGGAATGTTAAGAACATTCACGAAAATATCCATCTCAAAAAAGTGTCTTGATAATGTTAAAGTTAGAAAAGTCTAAAGTTAAAGGTTTATGAATTATTGACAAAAAACAAAATTGGCTATTTTCAGTTTTTCTCAGATTTCTAGGAAACAGAAAATTTTGAAGCGAATTTAACAACAGGATATAAATGAGCAATAAATTCCCTAAAACTTTTCTAATTTGAGCACCCTGTATCTCTCATAATAAGCGAAATTCCCATGTAGAGACTCGAATTTCGGACACACTGTATATTTTTTTAGTTTGCAATTTTTCGTCCAGCAGAAGAAGGCCTTAAAGTTACATTAGACGAAATGAGGTGTATCGAAACATCAGTCTATATACCAGCGAATATTTTTTCAATGTATCACATAGCCGACGTAGACGATATAAAGTTCAAAATAAATTTAAACACTTTAACTAATATCTTAAATATATTTGATGATGATGGTACTACTTTGAAACTGACTTATAAATCAGTAGGATCTCCCTTGTGTGTAACGTAAGTTTCAACAAGCATTAAAATTTTCAGTTAATAAAAAAAAGAAAATTACAGTATTAGCCATGGCGAAGAAAATATAACTGTGGATTGTGAAATGAAAACACTGAATATAGACAATCAAGCATCTGCAAGTTTAGCCGAGGAATGTAATTTGAATAAAATAGTTATTAGTGCTAATATGTTTGCAGAACTTTTGCAAAGGCTTGATAATTCAGCAGAAAATCTACAAATAACTTTTTGTCCAGACTTTCCATATTTTACTTTAAAGAGTACAAGTCTGTCTGTAAGTTAACCAAATTTTGTGTTATATAGAACATTAATCAAAATACTTATTTTATAGGGAATCTCGGAAGTAAGTTTAAGTAAAAATGCAGATTCTGTAACTATTTTTAAATGCAAGGAAAAAACAGATTTTACATACGCCTTTTCAAATATAAGGCATATAATCAAAGTTATGCATTATGCAAACAAAGTGGCTGTATCCACAGGAGAATCAGGTCTGTTAGGCCTCCAATTAGTGATTACTTCAGAAGAGAATCAAATGTATGTTGAATATTATGTTGTATCCCAGTACATGAGAGAAGATTAAATAATTTTTTTAAAGAATATATTTTTAATAAAAAAAAAATAGTTATTGTTTAACAGATTTCCCAACAGCTTCACTTATATTTTTGTAACCATCTTTTTCTAATAAGTCTACTAGTTCTTTCTTTATTCTAGTGACTACTGGCGGGCCATCAAATGCCAAAGTGGAATAAATTTGAACCAGACTAGCACCAGCTTTAATTTTTTCATAGGCATCTTTTCCAGTCGAAATACCACCCACCCCTAGAAATAATTTACTGTATAGCCACTATTTGTAATTTCAAACTTGCTCACCAATTATCACAGCCCCATTAGTGAGTAGGCTCATTTCCATTATCATTTGGGTCGACATGTCTCTTAAAGGTGCACCACTTAGTCCTCCTACTTCATTTTTATGGTCGCTGTTCAATGAAGGCCTTTGCACTGTTGTATTACAAACTATTAAACCATCTACCTAATTTATTTGTATTTTTTTGGTAAATGCTAAAATTTTTATAAAGAAAATTCGGTCCTACCTTGCAATCCTTTTCTTTTATAACTTCAGCAATATCTTTTTTTTCCTCATAGCTGAGATCTGGTGCTAATTTCAAAAGTAATGGAGGTTTAGGATTAACGTTCAAACTATCTCTTGCTGCAACTACAGCTTTTAAGAGTTGCTTTAGATTTTCTTTATTTTGGAGGCTTCTTAAATTTGGAGTATTTGGACTAAAAAAAATATTTATAGCATATTTGAGCTCTATCCTATCCTCAAATTACCTGCTAATATTAACAACCAAATAATCTGAAACTGTGCCAAAAGTTTGTACTCCTTCAACATAGTCTTTTATAGGATCCTCCGATAGTTTATTTTTGCCTAAATTCACACCAACAATTGGAACTTCTGCATTATGCCTAACATTTTCCAATCTTTTAAGGACTTCAGCATGACCTTCACTATTAAAACCGTATCTATTTATTACTGCCATGTCCTGTGAGAGTCTAAACACTCTAGGTTTCTCATTGCCCGATTGAGGTAGAGGTGTAACTGATCCAATTTCTACAAATCCAAATCCTATGTCTTTAAGTCCCAAAATCGACCTGCCATCCTTGTCAAAACCAGCAGCAATTCCGACGGGATTAGGGAAATCTTTGCCAAAAACTTTAACGTTCTAAAAAGAAAGTAGTCAGATTAAATTTGCAATTCATAACTGCTCTTACCAAAGCACTATCATCCTGATACTGACTTTTAGGAATTAACCTATATTCACTAGCAAACACGGCTAAATTGTGAGCGGTTTCTGGATTCAGTACCCTTACAAAAGGCATAAGAAATTTCCTGTAATATGTTTCATCTCCCTTGTATATGCAAATACCCGAATAGGTTCCTGCGGTTCCTATTAACACGTAGAGCATTGATCGCATTTTGTGCTGAAACATAATGAAGGCGGACGAACCCAAAATAAACTTAGAGCAGGTGAAGAGGTTCCTACGGCTCCTAGGAGGGCGCTTTACCTTATCTACTCTAAAAATTAAATAAGTGAGGATATCTATTTACCTTGAACGATAAACCCATTTTGAGCTTTTGAACAAGAAAAAGGATGACTGTCAAGTGTCACTACAATTTCAGTTAAGGATATGTTGTAAAATAAAACCACAGATAAAGATAAAACAAAATAAAGACAAATAAAAAGTAAAAACCATTAAAAACGATGTAAAAACAAATAAAAATCTAACCGAACTGTTTTCAAAACTTTGGTTTGGTTGGGTTAGGAAGGAATCTTCTTCTTTTTCGTTGGATATAGAGCTCAATGGCCAAAGGCCTAGTTCTCAGAGCTGCTTTCGGGTGCCACCCTTTGAGCGCTTCCGAGTTACTCCGAAGTACTCCGGCTACAGTTTACCCGTTCGGCTTCAAGCGTTCGAGTACAAAACGCATGACACCTTTTCACGTCGCTCCGGTTTAAACTAACCGGGTTACAAAACGGTTAGGGGCGGTATGTCAAGTGATGACATCACTGAAAATGCCACTTGAAAACGAACGGTTAGAAAAATGTTATTTTCAATAGGCTCGTACAGCATATTTTTTTTATTACATATTCTAAAAGAGCGTATTCAGTTTAGCAGTTGTGCAAAATTTCATAATTTTCCGAGCCCTTGTTCATATTTAAATAAATTATCAAAAAGCTCCAAATTTGGAAGTTTTGAAACACGCGGTGACGTCACTGCATCTCTCACGTTGGTCGTGTGACGGCCTTTAGCCCGTCTTGACTCGAGAGATGACGTCATACCATCTCTAAGCAATGAATTTCTGAGGCATAATGTTTTATTATTCAAAGCCGCATAACTTTTTTAATATTTATCCAATTGCGCTGAAATTTTTTTTGTGTGCTATATGTGAGTAATACTCCATAAAAATATCAGAAAACGTGGTTAATGAAACCTCACTGAACGAGCCTATTTACAGCAAGCCAGAAAGTGAAAAGTAGGTATAGTATCCGCCAAAGATATTCGAGATTCGTACAAAAAATTATGTATCAGGGAGCCTGCATTTAGTCAGGGAGCACGTATCAGGACCGGTTGAGTACAAGATTATATTGGTTTAAAATTATTCGGTTTAAATTGTTGTAAATAATGTTTAAAATTATTTTTCAATTTTCTCAAAAGATCTTTCAAAGATTTAATGCAAGAAATTAAGTACTTAATCGAATTCAGAACATAGCTCTTGGACTATATTTATTCTTAACCCTTATCTGTAGAGTTTTTGCTGCGGTTTTTTTTATCGGGGCATCACCGACAAAGAAATTATTTTTTGTAGGAATCTCAAATATCTGTGGCGGCGACTATAGTTTAATTTCTTTTCGTTCAATGCTTTAGATGTGGACCATGGGTGGATAGACCTACTAGAACCAGTTTATCTAAAGTTTATGAGTTCTCGTTACCTACAGTCTACAACAGCCCATCAAGGGCTGCGTTCAGATTGAACGTCGGGTGTCGCCCGAGCGCGTTCTGACCGTTCAGATTGCTTTGGGTAAAATTTACCCAGCCGTTCAGATTGTCAGTAGATTTTTACCGGACGACGCCCGGACGCACACTTTTGCGTCCCATAAAATAGCAAGATAAAATTTGCCCCGCATGCGCGTTTGTGTTCTAACCTTAAATAATAAAGGCAAATATTGTAAATAATTATTTTTGCGAGTTATGGTGGGTTTATCCAAATTCTTCGTTATCCTCATCAACTCTATTTAAAAAAAAGTGGCCTCTTTTTTTTTGTTTAGTTTGTGATGCTAAATTGATAGCAATCACTGACACTAGCACATTCTCGTGGTCCGAGGATGAAGCGTCCTCATCATTAAAAATAACTCTTTAAATATGAAGGAAGATACTATGGCTTCTTCCATAGTTAGTATTTATTTAAAAAATTTTGAAGAAAATGGCAAAAATGTTAGAATCAGTGAGGTTATAAAGAGAGAATGCGTCTTGGCCGTTCAGATTGGGCGAATCGCCGGGCACACTCGGAGTGCGCTCTCTATCGGGTGCGCTCTTCACTGGACGTCGTCCGGACTCTTCAATCTGAACGCGCCCAAGTAGGTAAACTGGGATTGCCTCTGGTACATCGTTTGAGTATAATACACGGTGAATTACGTAATCCGTGCATTACCAGGTAGATTAGGTGGTATTTATGCTAATCCACTTGCAAACTGAACAATTTCTACTAATGCACAGGCTGTATGAAAGGGAAAACGGTTTTCGGGCTTCGAATTCATAAAATATAATAATATATACAATACACAACTTTTTATTTAGTTTTTACACTTTTCCGAACTTTCCCGCTCTCCGTTGTTTATATTTTTTTCTTCTAACCGCTCAACGTAACCACCGAGGCGGTTAGAGAAATGACATACTGTTTTCTAACCCGGTTACAGAGTGACATCTTGTCGAATTCGAGTGGTATGTTGCGGTTTGTTAAACCGGTGCCACGTGAAAAGGCTATGGAGTATGACAGGTCCCTGACAGGTGTGAAGTGTTCTAGGAGCACCCGAAAGAGGCTCATATATAGGTGGGTTCGGCTTACTCACTCCGAGTGACTCTATTCGAACTCCAGCCGTTCGGGTATTGCTTTTTGGCGTATTAGGGGTGACTCCATTAGCGTTCGACTATACGGAGTGGAGTAAAAGAAGTTCACTCCAAAAGTTCCACCTCGGAAAGAGATTTTTTTAGAGTAAGATGCGCAGAAGTGAAATGTGGAAACTGTCAAGATTGTTGTGTTGTCAGTTGTCACGTTGTGGTTGTTGTTAAAAAAACTAAAAATCATCTAAAGTGCGTTTTTTTTTTTAAAGATAAAAGTCAAACTGACATTAGGTTGGCAATACAATGTAAAATTGTCAATGCTATCAAATTTTTCATGTAGAAAAGGCTTGTGTTACCAACATAGTTACTAAATTTTTGACTTGGGGAATTATCTTTAAAAAAAAAAACTGATTTTATGTGTGGATGCGGGAAGTGGTAAAATCATCGAGTAAAATAAATTGATCAGATTTTAAAATTTATTAAACATGATGGAAAAATTTTCTTGACAAAATTAAACAGAGGCAAAAAAATCATATAATTCTATTATGGAGGAATTGAAAAAAGAATTGGAAACAGGGCTGGGACTCTGGCCGAGTTCGTTTTTGTCCTCTTTTTCGTCGATTTGCTCCGAAATTTTGACAGGCACGTGATTTGTAAATTAAAACTGTCTTATCCAATCACGTGCCTGTCAAAATTTCGGAGCAAATTGACGAAAAAGATGACAAAAACGAACTCGGCCTCTGTAACGAATAGAGATATTTTCTCTATTGACGTCCCCTCTCTATTGATTTCGAAAAGCAAGAAGAAGACAGCAAGTGCTATAGCGATAGGGATAACGATTTTCTATCCGTTATAGAGTCCTAGCCCTGAAATCGTTGTAAAGTAGTTGACTGTGGGGCGAGTTCAGGAATGACACACTCAGGGCGAGAACCCAACGTAATTGACGTAAGCGTAACTAATCATGTGATTTAATTTGTACGGTTTCATTGGCGGCAATGCAGCAATCTTGAATTTTTGACATAACGCTGCCGCTACGGCAAAAAGTTGGGTTTTGTTGAACTTTTCGGCGTAATCGTGGCAAAGTTGTGACGTAATATATGGGGTGAGTTCAGCTTGGCAGAACGGAGTTGGAGCGGATAAAGAGCAGCAGGGGGATCACGAGACTCGATTGTCGACTTATGTCTATCGAGTTTGGTCGATACTCGATACATTTCATTCACGTGCTTCGATTAATAGACACGACTCTACGAAAATCTCTCGACTGCGTTAGAGTTTTGTTTTATTAATTTGTTATTTTTAACTAGTGCTAGTGGAAATTTCATTTTTTTTACAAATAAAAAAAAAAATTGTTTCAAAATATTCAAATAATTATGCTGCCAATTTTTCGTGATCGCTTCTTGTGTATGTCAAAGATGGCAGGAAAATCTCATGTTGCTTCGTAGACGTGGAGCAAGGATAATGCACACTAGCACTCTACTACTACAGGAAAGCTTATCCTCATAAGGCCTGTGTAGATCAACTCTCAAGCTGCACACCACGCCAAAGAACCAGCGTGTCGTTTCTCGCCTTGACGTAGGTTGTTTGCACCACAGGTTATGATTCTGCGGGCTTTTGCTTTATGCATACTTTCGGTTCGAGTACATTAATTAACATTCTGAAACAATGATTTTTTAGATCTCGTTTGCATATTCCTATTTGCCTAATATGGTATCCAAAATTGAATAATATTTTTCATCATGAATGTATATATTCTAAACTACGACCGCTGGTGCAAACAGCTGACGACGTAATTGATGACGTCGTCAATGGTGCTACACAATGTGGCCGCGATTTCCAAAAATGGGGCCGATAAGCAATTGTGTGTAGTGGTGTCTATTATCCTTGGACGTGGAGAACTCAGAGGTGTTTTCTCGCGTCTCAAAGTTCTGAAACATTTTTCAAAACTGGTTTAAAACAGTTTCACAATGACATCATAACTTCTCGGCGCGATTATATGGTTTGAAAACGTGGATTGAATTGTATTTCGAAACGGTTTGAACCAACATTGTGTGACGTCATGGGTTAAGGGTTCATCGCGAGAATACACTATTTAAAACCTGTTTTGAACCAGTTGCAAAAAAGTGGACACGAGAGAACAACTCTGGAAAAATCAACAACCATTTGAACTGCCTGAAAGAAGATTTCTTGAACTATCCAGGTTACCTAAGAATTTTCTAAAATTATTTCCCAGTGTTTTAAGGTCGGTCTTGAAGGCATTAGTAAAATCTGTTTTTTTTTTAAAGATAAAAGTCAAAATGACATTATGTTGGCAATACAATGTAAAATTGTCAATCTCTCAAAATTTTTATGTAGAAAAGGCTTGTGTTGCCAACATAGTTACTAAATTTTTGACTTGGGGAATTATCTTTAAGAAAAAACAGACTTTACCTACTCATTTTTAAATTGTATGCAAAATCAAATTCATAAGAACCACTAGACCTAGGGACAATAATTGAGTATACACTGCACTTATCATGAGAATGTAGGTAGATTGTTATGCAGGGTCCTTATTCTTGAAACAGGGGAGCATTGTTCCCAGGAGAACCAGTGTTCCGTCATTGTTACTTATATAATCATTTCTATATCATTCAGAAAGACAGAACATTCGTACTCCTGGGAACGCTGCTCCCCTGTTTCAAGAATAAGGACACA